TACAAAGTTGAAAGTTTTTCCCAGTTATGGGAATAATCTCTAAGTATTGAGTTCATTTATCTATGATTGATGGACATTTTGAGTAATTGCCACAATGAATTTATGAGAGTTTGATTAATTCAATCGTTGGGTAATTGACAATGGAACTTTTTAATTGTTTTGAAATGTAATCAAACGAATTTGTAGATTATTTTGGGAATTATCGATGAAAACAATTGGTTCACAGCTTTCGAGACCTGTTTCGCGAAAATTTTTGTGGAATATGAAGAAGGGTTCGAGACTTTCTGGTGTTACTTATACATTCATGACGATTATTCCCAGATTTCAAAAATTAAAAACTATTCCAAAAATCCTTAAAAGGGAACTATTAGATAAAAATGTGATAAGATCATTGTTACGGAAAACTTTGTGCTCGTCAAAACGTTTTTTTTAAATTTCCTCTCAACCCATTGGTTTAAAAAAAGTCATTAAAAAACCTTCGATTTATCTCTTATTCTCCGTCAATATAAGTTCAACAAATCAAAAAATTGCTGATGATAAATCCCTCAATCTCCCAACGAATCCGAATCAAATCATCTCTCCTTCCTTATCAAATACACTCATATTTTTCGTATCGAGCCCTCCTCAATTTTCTGTACAAATATTTGAATGAGATTAGGTTCCACAAACGTCTGAAGGGGAGGCCACTTATATGTAACGACTCCAAAAAAATATATAAAGCTTCATATGTACGTTGATACATATACTGGGCTTCACCAAGCGCAGAAAACTTACCGTACCTTTCTCCCTCCCCCCCTCGTTTTTCCTTCGCAACCATAAAATCTTTTTTCATTTCCTCGTTTCATTGTACCTCCGTAAACCCCATAATAAACCCGTACCGTTCCGTTTCATTTCCCGTTGTGTTGTATGAACAAAATGACAGACAGAGGGAAAACAAAGATGAGAGAGATGTGTATACGTAGGTATGGGCAATCGGTGATCGTTCGGGTGCGCGGGGTTTTGTGTATTATCGAGTGAATGGGGATTCGGTATATGAACATGTTGATGACAATGCGCCCGACGCATGACGATTATTGTGAGGGTGATGTCATCGATACGCGGAAGTTTTCCGTGTCACGTGTGCAAGTATCCCTGGAGAATAAATAAATAATTTTAGCGTTATGTAGAAGTAAAGCTGGAAAACAGAATTAAAGTAGTATAAACATAACTTGAATAGGGAACTTGCATAGAGTCCAGTTTTCGAATATTTTCAAATGAATAGTTGTTGTAGTCTGTGAATCATTCCAGAGTAAAAAGTTTTCCGAAAAATGGTCTGAATATTTTGTAATAACTGATTAAAAATGCGTCAATTTTGAATACTTTTTTGGAATCATGACGTCAACTCACCGGAATCAAGTTCCCCACGCGACCACTGGGAGCGCTATTGAGTTATTCTAGCCCTCCAAAGTGCGGGGCGTTAAGGGTGCCAAGTGAATTTGGCGATGACCTTGAAAATTGACATTCACCAACAAAGTTATAATTTTTTTGATTAATTAATTAATTATTAGACAGATGGTGAACATCGGTGACAATTTTAAAATTTTAGAACTTATGGATATTGAGAAATTAAATAAACAAAATCAGTCTTATACACGGCCTCTTATGGAGTTTTGATTAAATTGAACGTTTCAACCCCCTAGGAACTCAAGAAAAATTCGAAAAAATTTGAAGATATGGGGAATGATGTGTTCAATGTGATGGCGACAAAAAATAATGGGGTACCGGGGTGAATAAGAGAGATATTTCAACCCGCCGTACCCATTTGATCCCATGCTTTCTCGAGGTTCGTCACGCGAAATAGAGGATTTTCCGCATTTATTTTCTCGATGTCTAGTTCCGGTTGCGGGTTTGAAATTTCGTCGGATGGATGAATACATATTTCTCCAATGATGGAAGGAAAGAAAAAAATTTTTTTAAATCTTTTTTTCAAATTTACTTGGCACCCTTAAACCAAACAAATCGAAGGGGTTATGTTTGAAACAATTATTAAAAATATTGTCATATCCAGCGATAAATGAAGACACTGCAGATTAATAAAATAGTTGGGGTAGTTTATTAACTATTCAACAGAGTAAATATGATGTGTCTTGTACAAGAGCTCCAGAGAGAATCGTCCAATATTCAAGTTTCACAAAAGACAATCGTTATAGTTCAACCAAAACTGCG